TGGCCAAATATGCAGGAGAGAAGATACTGTTTAAGGGAATATAATTTCTATTACAAAGTAGCATCAGATACAATTAACAAGAAAATAGTGAATTTCATACAGATATCCCAAGAGATTTTTTTTCAATATAAAATAGTAATATCAGATATTGACTCAAAGATGAAACCACATTTGCACTTACTTTCCCTCGAAAACGATCCTGATCCACGATCACCAATAATTCCTGGATGCCTAGGTCCTGCGACATTTCTGTTCAACTGGAGAAAAGAAAAAAAAATACATAAGCTTTAAAAAATAATATGTTAGGTCGCACCATTGAGACCATTATAGCATACTTGACTTCGTAATGTGCAGAAAAGATCGTAAGGTAAATCGAACACGCGTGCCATGCAAAATCGGGATCTTCAAATTTTAAGATATTTTAAGATATTAATGATCAAGTACATTTGAGACAGCCTTTCCTTTTAGTGCCATTCAGAGTACTAGAAGACTATGTAAATCAGAAAAAGAAAATTATTAGTTCCAAGTACATATGCATAAAAAGCTCTGTTTCTCTTCACCTACGCCTCAAGTTCAATATTTTGCAACAATCAATCATTATCCCCTTCAAAGACAGGAAACTAGTCAGATTGATAGCACAGAATCGCTTCACATTTCTATAGAGAAGATTCTACAATAAAATTCAAAAGCCACAATTACAACACCCTTACTAGTTACTAGTAAGTTGTTTGACTTGCAAGCAAGTTATTCGGGATAAAATAATCCCAGGTTTTTATCCTTATTGCTGATACCAAACGACCCCTTAGAGATCTCAACAAACAACATATGAGCAAATTAACCGGATTTCTACTCAGAATCAAGAACAGATAAAAGAAAATAGCATAAACAGGTATTATAATGAACAGCGCTTAAGAAGGTACACTGTGATCAAACCTTTGAAAATGTAGTTGCCAGATCATCTATGTCAGATAAAGACCCCAAAGCTGATCCCTGAAAATAAAGCAGTATATTAGTATAGGCAGCAAAAGAGGTATAACTACAAAGAAAAGTACAACACGTCAACAGTTTATTTTTGAGAAGGAATACGTCAACAGTTTATGAAAGTAATAAAAAATACAGCATGCTCAAACCACTAAAGGCACAAATTCAGGGATCAGACATAAGCTAAATGCAACTTAATGAGAGTGATATCAAACTCCTGAGCAAGAAGAGAACTAGAGAAGAAAGTGGGTCAAATAAAGATTAAAAAACGAATGTCGTTGTCCAATAGTGGCATGACCGCACTTCTCATCAAAAATCAAACCGTCATTAGGCAAACATTTCATTTCAAATCCAAAAAAGAGTAACAAAAGAACGTACCTCATCTTTTTCAAACAAATGGTACTCATGTGTATCGACATCACCAAATCCACCATCCACCGCGGGAACACAATTGTTTCCTTCTTCCTCTAGACCACCCAATTCAACTTCCTCTCCTATATCTCGACCAAAAAATGCATATTGTGATGCATCGAAGAGAGCATTATCTGCTAAACCAAAGGGAAAAAGTCAAAATTTATACACCCTTTCCACATCAAAAAACAAGCACGGATTTTCTTTCAAATGTAACACAGGAAACTGTAAAGAAAATTGACCATGAACCGAACTCAAACCCTAAAACCTAGCTAGCTCAAGAGTTGAGGATTGCTCAAACCATCCTTTCACCGAATGATGTGGGACTCTTCAACCGAAACACGGATAGAATCAAACAGTATAAGATCATCAAGACAGAAAGAAAAACAAGCGAACAACAATAGCAGCTATGCCTTAACCTCAAACTAATCAGGCTGCTATAAAGATCTTCTATATGCATTCCTCTCAATCTAACAAATTTCAACCAAAGAAAACGCAAAATTGAAAAATGAACTAGTTGAGACGCTATCTGAATCCTCTATATATATTCCATAAATTCTGACTCATCTAAAAAAAACCCACTTATGAAATGAAATAGTTGAATCATCTATATCCATCCCGTAGAGCATCATGCCTGAAAAGAAAAACAAGAGGATAAAAATAGCAACGCCTTAGTCTCAAACTAATCCATTTGCTATATGAATCTTCTTTATTCATTCAGCTCATTCTCCACTAAATTCAACCAAAAGACACACAATTTAAGGATGAACTAGTTAGGTCTCTTTATGAATCTCCTCTATATCTATACCCATTTTAAACTCCCACTTTCCACTTAAGAAACGAACTAGCTGAAACCCATATAATACAAACAGTAACTCAAAATAAAATCCAAGCAGAGCCAAATCGGTTACTCTTCCCTATATGAATCTCCTATTTACATTCAGCTCATTCCCCACAAACTTCAAGAATGCAGTTGGATCTCTATATAAATCCTCTATATAAGTTTCCTCTTATCTTATCCCATTTAACAAACAAAAGCCTCACTTAATAAATGAACTAGCTGAAACCCAGATAGGAATAAAACAGTAACTCAAACAAAATTCAAGCAAAAGCATAATCAACCCCCAAAAATAACAACAAAAAAAAAATAGCAACTTTGCCTTAATCTCAAGCTAATCAATTAGCTAAACAAATCTCATAAATAAACTTCAACCCAATTTAAACAAAAAAAATAAACACAATTCAAGAATAAAACTTGGGTCACATCTAAAAAAAAACACAGCTGAATCATCTATTGAAAAAAACCCATTAAAGAATGGAAAAAATGCAGTGAGCTGACCTGAGATGGAGCTGGAAGAGTTAGACAAGTCCATGAAATCTTTGCAATCGGATCTCTCCATAACAATTTAACAAAAATCACACAAAATAAATTGAAAAAAAAATTACAACAAACGTAACCATATGTTCACCGACCCAGATAAGGAGAAAGATTGAATCTTTCACCGAATCAAAGAGAAAAAAACCCTCAAATTTGCTAAAAATGAAAGAAAAAAGCAGAGGTTTTTAGGGGTTTCGAAGAAATACGGAGAGAAAAGACATAGCGTGAATATGCACATTACGTGTTTGGTTAAATGCGTGTGTGAAAGTAAAGGGAAGAAAGAGACTGGAGACTTCCTCTTTGTTTCAATCGCGGTGCATCGGTGAGATTATTTTTATCCTTAATTAAAGCTAAAGTTTTCGAATTTTAGTTTCGTGTGTATAGAGAAAATTCGATATGTTCAAGAGCGTCACACCTATTAATGAGTTTCACATTGTGCCGTTTGAAACTTTATCAGTATTTCAATGTGATTATCAAATAAAAGGTGTGATGATTAATCACATAAAATCTCGTTATTTATCTCATCTTTCGTATCAAACGAGTCATAATAACAATCATTTTTAATATATCGTGCAATATTAATTTATCGTGAAATTCGTAATTTAGTGTTTTTACTAATTTATAATTTTTAAACTTATTTTGACTTGTATTGTTTTAATTTTTTTACAAAATACGTAAATAAACTTAAAAAATATATACTTATTAAACAATTTGAAAATAAGAATTATATTTCAACTTTTGTAAAAGCTCAAGTTACTTCAATTCCAAATAAAAAGATATTAAGGGCTAATTAATTTCTCAATCTTTAGCTCGAAGATAACTTAGTTAATTATAATTGTATAAGTATATGATATGTAAGCAAGATAAATAACTTCGTAAATTAATAACAAATATATATATTATATCATATAAGAAATATAGATAATAGTAACACAAATAATGGATTAATATATATTTATTTTTTTTATCTACGTGATCTTGCAGATATCAAAATATAACTTTTATGATTAAAAAGATTATCTTTATTAATTATTTTTTAATACTTTAGTAATCATTAAAATAATAAACTTTGAAAAAAAGGGCTTAAAGAGATTGGTGGTGGAAATCGATTGATTGTGTCCTTTCATTTTTAGTATTCAACTTGGAATTAGAGATTTTCGTCTATTATGGTCCGAATTCAATGGATCTTAATTTTATATACGTTATATAATGATAATAATAATATATTTTCATTATCTCGTGAAGATAGAGAGATTGTTTCTGAAAGACTATCGGCTTAAGTGTATCAAACTCGAGTAGATGAAGAAAGCATAGTCATTAATAAGAAAAGCAGTGTAAAGTCTACACGAAAAGAATAATAACACACAAATAACAAGAACGTAACTACAAGGGTATGACTAGTTTTACGATTACTATCCTTCTACCTTAATACGCGACAACCATTCCTACCTATCTAGAACTTTGTCATCGGTAATATGAAGTTGCGCATATCCTATTTAATCACCACTACCCTATTTTTTTCGACTTATCTCTACCCCTTCGAGTGTCCTCTACAACCAGCTATTCACTAAAGCGTTAATTCACACACCTCCTTTATACATATCTAAATCATCTTAATCTTGCTTCTCTCATCTTATCCGTCACCTTCGCATATATATTATGTTTAATATTTAATGAAGGTATATGTGGATAAGCTGGTCAGACACCAACTTAATTTCTAAAGACAAAAAGTTTGGTGCCAATTGCTTTCTTAATTTATTACTACTATGGTTTTTTTTTTCTACGGTCATTTGGTGGTTGATTAGAAGAAATATAATATGTGTATTATACTATACATAAGTAATATTCTATTTGATAATTAACTAGAATTATGTATAAAATTAATATGATATTTTATTAAGTTGTGTATGAATTTATATATAATTTTATACGAAATTAAAAAAAAATAATATAAACAATTAAATTTTATAGAACTAATTTAGATATTATCAATATAAAATAAGATATAATATTTTTTATAACTAATTTATATATTATTAATTTACGTAACTCTAATCAACGGATGAAACGAATTATAAATTCCTCTATTGCTACTTGCTCACGTGCATCACGGAAAAATCAGAGAGCAATCTTTGGGGTCAGATGAGAAGCACATGATACATTAATTATATAACTATATATTATCAAAAATCATAGGAAACTTTTTTTTTTTTTGTAATTAATAATGGGCAAATTAAATAATGTTAATTGCATATAGATGAGGGAGTAAATTAATATATGTTAGCTAGTTGACTTTGTTCATTTTTAAAAAAAAATTTCTTAATATGGAGCTTGGCTAATTGAAATTTATGTATTATCGAGAGGGCTTATTTATAGGGTCGATTGCGCTTCCAACATGAGTTTTTTTTTACTATATCCAATTTGATTATTTTATTTGTTTGTGTTCAATGTTCAATGAAATGAAGGGAAGTCATAACATAATTGGTAAAGTCATTGTTATATGTTCAAAAGGTTACGAGTTTGATATTTGAAAATAATTTCTTGCAAAAAATACAAGGTAATATTGTATATATAATAGACTCTTGTGATATAATACTTTTTCAAACATTGTAAATGTGTATCAATCATGTATATATGAAGCATATATTACATTGTTTTGGTATAAAATTTTCACATCCTAACACTAGAAAGGAATGTTGTCAAGTTATCCATAGCTTTACAACTAGCCACTTTCCCCATTGTCATCTCATTTAGCCTATCAATTCTCTCACTCATTCCATCATCCTCCATGACCTTTCTCAATCCTTCTTCCAAATCTTTCACTCCAAAACCGTCAATCCTGACTCCGATTCGCCATTTCTTAACAATATAAAAGCAGTTTACAAACTGATCACCCGCGATCGGGTAACACATCAGTCGTTTCTTAGACTGTATAGCTTCCATCGTCGAGTTCCATCCACAGTGCGTCAGATAACACCCTACGCCTTCATGTTGTAGCACATCCATTTGTGGTGCCCATGACACAATTTTCCCTTGCTTTGAAATCCTCTCCAAATAGCCCTTTTGTAAACCTTGTCTCCATAATGGGCCTAACACCCAAATGAAAGGCCTTTTTGTTGCTTCAAGTGCCAATGCCAAACTATTCACTTTTGCTTCACCAATTGGACTCACCCAACTCCCAAAAGAGATATACAATACTGAATGAACAACTTGTTTATCTAGCCAATTCATGCAACTTAAATCCTCCTCCCAAAAACTTGAACTCTTGATTGTTACATGAGTGTTCAAAGGCCCAATTGGGAGTATTTGTGTGCTAAAATTTGTTGTATTTTGGTCTTTATTATTGTGACATTCTTCTTGAAAAGTGTTTATTAATAACCACTTTAGGGTTTTTGTTCTCTCCATTGTTCTTGTCCAAAACTTGAATCTTGAAATTCTTGCACTTTGATTTCCAATAAGCCATGGTAAATCTTGTGGTCTAATTGTAGGTTGACCAAATAAGTTGCATATTGGATCATTGTGTAATGGACTACCTGTGACATTGTCAATTATAATTAGTCATATAGAATGTTATAAAATATAAACCATACACAATTTTTATTATGAAAAAAAGGGTTCAATTTGGACCTTGTAACGTCTGGATTCGATTAATTCTGTTGTATATGTTCAAATACATAATAATAAGAACAAGTCATCTTATATTTTTCCTTGACAACATAGTTACACAGTGTAAAATGAGCGGTTTATAGATTAATTTTACATGTTTATTCGAAGATTTTTTTTTTAAATTCATTCTTTGGTGCGCTTTTGATTATTATTTTAAAATTATTCTTAATTAAGAATAATTGAAATAATGGTTATTATTGGTGATATTGCATGTGAACATTAACACATATATCCTTTAATCATGCATGCCAATTTCCAAGTTGAATAAATTAAAAAAAAAGATTAAAAATAGAAACTTTATGAAATAAGTTAATTCTTCAATAAAAATAAATAAAAACATCATTTGATCATGAAAATTCTTATGGTTGACTTTAATATGACATCATGTTAGAATAAGATAGTTGACCTTGATTTAGTTACTTTAATTAATTGCTCATTAATCAAATTGTGTTTTTTTATTAGATTTAAACAAATAATCAATTGACACATATATAAATCAGCTTCTTGGATTCATAAATTATCTGACTACATATTTCTGTTACAAGTTACTTGCATTAAAGGGCTAAATATATTACTCAATCAAAATATTAATATAGTACTCCTGCTTGATTCAGATTAATGACAAAATTTATTTAGATACTCGAATAATTATTTAATTCAATAAATAGTCGAAAATATGATAAAATGTTCTTATACTATTATTTTAAGTTTGGGGGAAAATATTGTGTACGTTCTTCAGCACACGTCTATTAGCATCTCCTTTAATCATACTCATTATACATCAATCGCAATTAAAACAAGTCTGAGGTTTATAACTTATTGGAGCTAATGGTTAATAATGCATATAATTTTTTTAAAAAATGATACATTTGAAATGGTTAACTTATTTATGTAATGAGCATTTACGGATACACAAAAAATATTTTTAAATTTGAATAGAAAATATCTAGTAAAAATAGTTTATTAAACTATGCAAGTCATAATATACAGTATAGTATATTAATTATTATTAAATAATCTGATTGTGTTTTTAAGAAATTACAATGATCAAGAAAAATAAAGAAGGATCAATTAAAGAAATAATAATATTTGAATAGATTATTGATTGTGATAGGATGAAATTTCATTTTGTTTTATTAGATGCATTGAGTTTTACGTCGATTAATATTTAATTAGTCGATGCTCTAAAGCAGGAATTAATTACTGAGTAAAAAAAATGATTAAAAAAATAAAATTATGTCTACAAAGATCAAAGGGAGTTTGTGATAGGAAAAATATGATCTCTTAAAATTTAACCTACAGGTTTCAAGTTTGAGTTGAAAAAGTTCCTTGGAGGAAGCGCTTCTTCTTTTAACAGGTTTTACACGACATTACTCCTAATTAATACGTGAAAACGCGAATATCAGATATCGTGTGAAACAAAACTCGAAAAAAAAAAGTATGAACATTACCTGTTTCAGAGATGATTCCATCATGTAACATTTCTGGAATTGAATTAATCAATTTATAAGTAGCTAGCATGGCTGGCCAAAATCCAGCAACATGAACACCACACTTATTAGCAATTTCAATAGCCCATGAAGCAAGCAAATCAACAATCAAACACACAATTCCATCTTCTTGTTGATCTCGAATTATATTTTCGAGCTGACATGGCATGTAATTTTCCATAGACTTTTCTATCGCGAAAAAATCGCGACCTGAAGAAGTTGTTAGTCCATCTTGATCTAGTCCATCTGAAATAGACATGATGGAAATATTCACATCTTTAGAGTCAATTTTTATGAAATTTGGAATTATAACTATTGGATTAATGCCATGATTAACTAGCAATGAAGCTAATTTAAGCATTGGTGTTACATGACCTTGTGCTGGATATGGAATTAGAAATACTTTGGACTTTTTTTTGCATTTCATGGTTTTTTTTTTCTCTCTAAGTTTTTTTTTTTTTGGTTTATAATAACTCTTATAAGGGATTCACTATGCTATTCATAATATATAGTTTTTTTTGGGGGTGTGTGTATTTTATATTTGGGTAGGGTGGGGGGTTTAGACAAAGTGGTAGAGTAGGGGTGGAGGGAGGGAGTTAAATTAATATTTTTATCGAAAAATTATATCGTGCAAATTGGATTAGGATAATATCTTTTAGTTATATAAAAATTGTTGAATTCTACTCGACGATGTAACTATTTTTTATTTGATTGAAGTTTATGAGTTTGAGATATAGAAAAAGAAAGTTATTTGATTCTTGATAAATAAATCATTACTTATACTGTAGAAATCTATTTTTACAAAATTCGTAAATAAAATTTTATCTCTATATCTAATTATAATATTTTAAATAAATTTCTAATTCCGTCACTTCGGATTACTTTGCTTTTGCAAGTGGCTTACGCAATTGGATTTCTATTTGCATGTGGCAACTTGCTTACAAAAAAGGAAATTAAAGCTTAAACAAACATTAGAGAATTAATTAATTATTGATTAATGTGAATGATTATAGAAAAAGGTTACTATTAGGCACAATAGCACTAAAAGGTTATTAATGATATTAATTACTCTTACCGTCCACTAATATTTTGTTCATTATACTAAAAAATAGATGTCCATCAAAATTTGTCTACTTTATGAAATTCATAAATTATTTTACAGTTAGTTTATAATTTTATTTTTATTATTAATTATAGTCATTTCCCTATTTTGCTTTTTTAAAGACATTATATTTATTATATTCAAAAAGTGATTTAATAAAATTATCCTTCTATTTATAGTTTCTTAAGAGGTGTGTCAAGTCAATATTGGACAACTATTGTTGGACAAAAGAAGTAGTTATGATCCTTAATCAGAGATATCGAGTTCGAACCCGGCATATGGAGAAAATCCTTTTGAGAGTGTCATCTCTAAATGGGCCCTGTCTTGCGCGATTCGAATTTAATCGCGATTTCAATGATGAGCCAAAAAAACTAACTAATAATGACATGTTTGGCTAAATTTCCCACGAGTTAAAAGTGTTTATTTTATTTGATGTGTACGTTTATTAGTTTTTTTTTTCTATATGAATAGTTACAAAAGTCATTTTCCAGATTTTGAAAAGACTTTTTTTTAAAGCACTTTTGAAAGTTTGATCAAATATCAAATTAATGATTAATATTAATAAAAATATTATTCAAATTAATTATGTAAATATAAATTATTATCCTCCAAAAATACTTCTGATGAAAATATATCAATTCTTTTTTTAAAAAAATAGCCAAACTATAGCTTGGTTGGTGCATGAAAAGTTTCAATCTATTGAGTGTAACATACTTCTATCAAAGCAACAAATAAAAAAGGGCTGGTCCGTCAAAAGTACAGTTTTTTTTATCAAAAAAAGAAAAAAACGTGAATTATTTGACGATTTAATTTATATACCTATATTCAAAAGGAGATTAAAGTTTTTCTTTTCAATAATGATAGTGTTTTGCTAAAATAAAAATAGTATTTTGATCAACTAGCTTATATTAACTATTCTATCTAATATCTATTATACTTTATTAACTTAGAAATCGAATAAATATGCATAAAAAAATTGTTACCATACTATGTTGAAAGTAAATAAATTAGAAATGTAGTTTTTGTACATTCTTTAAAAAAAAATAATTAATCCACTTATTATTGTTACCGTCATTGAATTAATTCCTTTCAATATAAAATGAAAAAAATATTCTAAATTGTGTTGATATAAATTATCAAATTTTACCGAACTCAAATAACAAAAGCAAGTTACACGATATTTACTTTCCCTTTGAAAACAACATATAAATGAGGAGAGAAAAATTATATAGTATGATACTTTTTTTTTTTAGAAAAAATATTTCAAATATTTTATTTTTTCATTATTTTTCATTCACGCCTTATTTAAACCCCGATAAAGTATAACTAAAAATGAAATAAAAAATTACACCAAAGAACTTTAGACCACATAATTTAAATCAAAAGGTAATCAAAGTTCAAAAGAGCTTCTTCTTTGTTTCATTGGTGATTTATGCATTCCACTTGCAAGAGCACATTTATATTATTTTAGGAACGTGTGAATGTTGTGATTATACATACATATAGATAGATTTACGTTATTCAGATTTATTAAAAATATTATCATAATTATATTAAATTCTGTAAAGATATACTATTTGTGAAAGATTCAATTCACACGTATAATTTCGACAAAATTTTTATTTCAACTCATAAGTATATAAAAAAAAGTCAAAAATATCATTAAATTATTTAAAAATAGGTCATTTGTGTATCGTCTTTCGCTAAAAAGTTCTTCGTCATTGTAAGTTAGCAAAAAGTCCTTCAACTATTCAAATAGTTTAAAAATATTCTTCTTTCTAACGATATGTTTCAAAACAAAAGAAAATTAATCAATTTTCTGCTTGAATATACTCTTTGAAATTGAGCAATTATGCAAACTTATTTAATCTTAAATTTAATTATATCCTCATTTAAATAATTTTTAATTATAAAAATATTCAACGTGTTACATTCTTCTAAAAATAAATAAAAAGAATTAGAGAGAATTTTATCAACTCGATCTTACCTTTCTAAAATTGCGCGAAGTGGCCCTCCAAAATGAAGAAATTATATATATATTTTTTAATTTCATACCTATTCAATCATCACTTATTTTAGAACGAAGAAATTATTGCTCCACTTAAGATATATAAATTAACCACATGTTTAATTAGTTTCTGAGTCCACATAATTATATTGCTAAAGCTATATGTCGGCTGAAAGAAACATTTTAATTTAGGCAGCACACAAAATATTAGGAAAAAAAATAATTTCGTCGACTATTTACACTCATTCAATTATATACAAATAAATATTTATATAAAAAATTTTGTCAGCGATAGCGATAGTAATTTATATCTACTTCTATAATATGATTAATGGTTCATCATTTTAAATCAAATACTTTTTTTCTCATTAAATTCACAAAAATTAATAGAAAAAATAAATTTTATATGATACATTCTGTCTAAAATAGTAACGCTTTAATAAATTTGAATAGTAGTTGTTAAGAAATAAAAAAACTAGGTCATAATCAAGATGTTCTATCATTCTAACATGATTAATATTCAACTCTAATTAGAGGTTTATTATATTTTTAATTTTGAAGGATACTTAATTATATTACTTGATAATGACCTAATTAATGGGCATGACTAAATCAAAACATGTACGTTCGAAATCTTCAATCACGTCTCTTTTAAAACTCAAAAAGTATTTTCACATAAGAATTAATAGATTAAAAATTTCGATAAAAATATTCAAAATTTAATATCTGTATACATAGATATAGCGTTCTTTCTCTTCTTAGCTAACATAATAATCCAATTCACACCTGATATTTAATTTGCATCAAACTAAATAAAAACTTCGTTTATTATGGATTAATAATTTATCATGATATATAATATAGAAAATGTTAGTATTAGACTAAATGGATTGCTTAATTGTAAAAGTCTCTAATTAATTGTTTGAGTGTGACATAAATTATTATTAATCAACTTATTTAATTAGACTTCAAAAGAAAGAAACGTGAATTAGACCATCTAATTAAACTAAACTCTACTTTTGCAAAAGAAGTAATTAAGTTCAAAGTGTGAATTTAGAATAAATTAATTAGCAGCAATGTGATTAATTAGTTCATTAATTAATTCAATTTTTGGTGTTTGCATATACATAGACAACTTTTATAGCTTTTCTTTTTCACTTTATAGGGGGGAAATTAAAATCCCACTTAATTGATTTATTAGATTGTCTCCTTTTATTCTAGCATTACTACATGTACTATTGATTCAGTATAATATAATATAATATGATACGAAATTTAAAATTTTAATTCGATAATATAAATTTTTGTTTATTTTTATAAATATTATATTACTATCATATCAAATAAATATAGTATCATTTTGTATTTTGTGATATGATAATTTAGTATAATTTAATCATATACTTTGATACAACATTTAATATTTTAATATTTTATTTATAAATATCAGATATCGATCAATTGATATCAAATTTTTTTCTTCAGAATATATATTATATATCACTCAAATTCATGATTCAAAAATTATGATATTCAATTTTTTTTTAAATTCGATATGATAATTAGGTATGTATTGTGCCATGCCACAACTATACTTGTTCATATATAGTTGAAATTTCAACAGAAAAAAACTATTATTAATTCTTCCTTCTTTTTTTTTTTTAAATGCAACGTTTTCAAATGAATATATAAAAAATTAAATATTTTAAAAGAATAATCTATGAATGTCATAGATGACCAATCAACAATTGAATAATAATAAAATTATTGTACTTTTTAATCAAATAAATGAATCATTATAATTCCATCATAATTAAATAGAGTTGAAGCCCCCACTTGTGGAATTCTCACGATCAATCATTCATAACTAAATTATACCAACTTTTTTCCAATTATTAAATTATTAGTCTATATTTTTTATCGCTATAATTAGTTTTAAAAATACAATTAAAATTGTAATTGTATCGTAAAAAATTATGTAACGACATCTTTTTTTTATTTTTCTTTATATATTATTCACTTTTTCCTTGGCGTGAAGAGCGGAGATGATCACATCACGAGGAGACAATTGATTCAAAGAGCGAAATCAAGATTTCAAGTTTATTCAATTAATTTCTTACTATTAATTTTATCGTTTATTTTCATATTTAAAACACTAGCTACAATTTTGTTGTCATGAACTCAATATTAACTTTTAATTTGCAATCATAATTAGTTTTAATATACGTTAGTTCTTTGGTTTAATTCTACGTAGGTACTTACAATAGTGAATATATATATAACTAGTCATGAATTTATTAACAATTTATCAACGTCTTAAATGTAATCAATACAATATGAATATATTTTTTTTGAAATAGTTATTTAAAAATATGCTCTTTCCTTTTTATAACACAAAAATATGACTTTTTGTGTAATTTTTGTTTGAAACAATCGAATAAGATATAACATCAAATTAAATGCTATTAGATGTATAAAAAATCATCCTATCGAATAAAATAAATATTCAAACAAACAACACCGTTATAAAAAAAATCAGATTTTATCTCTGATTTCTTGTTGTCTTTCAATTTTTTTGGTCAAAAGTATGACTAATTCTTTGAAGAATTAAAAAATCCGTCAAGTGGTTAGGATTTTTTTTAAAAATCTCTAAGTTACAAAAATAATATAATATATTTTTTCATATATGCCAAAAAAAAAAAGTTTTACATATATGGACACATAATATATATTTGAATCCCATAAGAAATTTTATATAGTTTGAAATTAACAGAGTAATTTTCTAAGTTAAATATTAATAATTGTTAAGTGACTTTCTAAGAAAAATAAGTGACGCTCATACAAATAGCCATATTACGACCCCCTATTTAAAAAATAGCGGAGATTTATGAAATTTTGTGCCACTTCAAAATTTAACTTTTAACAAATTATAGATATACACATAAATTTGAGAGTGTACAAGTCGACACATGTAGGACGAATGTGTTTATATCTTTAATTTTTATACAAATTTCAGTACCTGTTTGTGCACATTTAAGATTTAAAGTCATAGTTACTAACTAACGTCAAGTTAAAAGTTATGTTTATATATTATACCTTGATAAAATTTTCTATTTTCACCATGGACAAACAAATAAGGAGCATTCTCTCAAAACATGAATTGCAGTGCAGTGGTAAAACTATTTCATCTTTAATTAGAAATTTCGATTTGAACTCTGAACATTGAACATGAATAAATCTTGTTAGGAGCAACATTCTCAAATATGTAATGATATTAATTATACTAGACGATTCGAATTTAATCAGAACTCCTGTAAAAATATCGAACGCTGAATATGAAAAACAAAATTTGGGGCACTAGTAATATTTTCTTATCTTTATTTATTATCCACACACAAATATCTTATCTTTTTGTTGGTAATACAAATATCTCATCATTTTGTCAGCCAAAACACAAAAAAAGAGAAACAAGAAATCAGAAATACCTAATTCTAAGCTCAAAATTGAAACTAAAAATCAAAATAAAAATAAAAATAATGGATGGGATTCAACAATTGGGACTTCCAATACTTGGAATTATAGCAGCAGCTGCTGTTACATTTTATGCAGTCAGCTTCTCAGAAATTAGAGAGGTATGCTACATTTTTCCAATTATTTTTCTTTTATTAAACTTTTATCAACGACGGAGGTAGAATTTTTATCAAAACGTATTTTTAATAGTGTGTTGTTTGATTTTTATAAAAATGTAGAAAGATTGAATGAGAGAATTCACTAATTTTTGAAGGATCTGATACAAGGATAGAGCCTAGCCTTCTGATTCGATCGAGCCTAATAACTTTGATACAATATCGTTAAAAGAAATCAACTTAATACATATAATTTTTTTTTTGGAAGAATTCACTATTATTTGAATAATTTATCAAGAGCTCAATAATTTTCTTTATCTAAAATTAGAATTGATAAATTCAAAGTTCTAATTGTGACTTTGATCCGATTTGAGTGTAGAATCAATTTTGAGGACTTCGAATAATCTATTTGATATATATAATGTGATTTTTTCAACGAAAAGGATTCGAATGAACCCTTTTTTAACCCCTACTTGTAACTTAATGAATATTTATTAATTGCAATCATTTTTATTTTTTTTGGAAATTGTAGAAATCATTAAGAGATTATGAGGATGGAGAAGAATTTGGAAGTGGTGGATTCAAGTATGTTAGCTCTAGAGAAAGGAGAGCTAGAAAAAAAGCTGATAAACAAAAATCAAAATCTTAGATTTTTTGTACTCATATTTTCATGTATCTTATTTTCTATTGCAATTTTTGTTGTCGAAATCAGAGACAAATTCAAAATTTAATTTTTATGAATATTCAAGATACCATTAAATATGTAGTGATCATTTGAATTTAGTCGAAGTTTAATATTTATAGATACTTATTATTTTAACTATCTTACTTGTTTCTATTTTGGTAAAAGATGGAATATGAGCGAATTGGATCAAACTTGACTTAGACATAAGGAGCCAAATTTTAAAAGTGTTATGATTCAATAGGCTTAAAATTTGATTGGATTGAAATAGATTTAGGCTAAACAATCGATCATAATTCAACTTAAACTTATCTTAGCATGATTTAATCAATCATACTTCTTGATTTTCAAGTTTATTTTCATATTCATCCAAAACTTTTTTAAAAAAATATATAATTAAAATAATCAAACGCCTATTGCGAGTTACTAGAAAGTCAAATGACTTTGTTAGCCAACAACACATAAGCCTAGTTAACAATATACAAAACAATTTTGACTTGTATTTTTTTCACTCTTTTTTTCCTCATGAGCTTTTTTACTTCTTCTGAGACTTGAGTTCTTCTACTCTATTTTCAGTATCCTTCAATGCTTTCCCATATTTGATTATCAACTGCAAAACAATAACAACAACAAAAAATGGTTTTAATCGTTTTTCAGCTTTCGTAGAATAACAACAACAACAACATTCCCACCGTGTTCTCACCAGTGGAGTATGGGAAGGGTAGTGTGTATGCAGACTTACCTTACCTTAAGAACATAGAGACGTTGTTTCTGACAGACTATTTCAACTTTCATAGAAAGTTGTTACGAGGATTAGCTCCATATAGACCATAGAAACATGACGTTGTTGTGTTTATGTCCACGTGACATAAACACAACAAGCCGAGTTCTAAGGCTATTGAGCAAGAAACCAAAGAAACTAGCATTGATATTACCTCATCAATTTCTTCCAAACTAAGAATGTAGGGAGGAGACATCATTATGTTATCACCAGCAACGCGTACCAACACTCCATGCTTCTCACACCGTGCTCCAAAATATGCACCGATACCTATGAAAAAGAACGAAGAATATGTTAAGATAAGAAGAGAGTTATAACTTCATCTCGGATAAGATTAAAGAACGAAACCATACCCCATTCAGGAGGGAATGGATCATTTGGAGATTTGTTATCTGTAAACTCTGTACCATGTAGCAAACCAGTTCCCCTTATCTGGAAAAAAAGATCGAAAAGTGAGCTTATAAAATGAACGTTAGGTAGTTAAGACGTTTGAGCTGACTCTATCGCGTTAACTACTTTACCTCTCCGATTATGGGACTATCAGAAAACGCCTTCAGACCTTCTTGGAACTTTGGTGATATTCTGTTTACTTGCTCAATAATATTTCTTTCCCTGTAACGTATTCGAGTCTTTTTAGTACTTAAAACAATCGTAAGTCCAATACCCCTAGTTGTGAAACCACTATATTTCTATGTTGCTCGGACTCTAAAAGATGTTGTCAAAGTACTCAGATCAGACATTCACATGTCGATATTTTGATGAGTCCGAACAACATAGCTAAAAGCATAAAGGAGAAGTCGCGTACTTGTAGATCTTCAGTGTTTCCAAGGCAACTGCACACGAGACAGGGTGCCCCGAGTAAGTAAATCCATGGGAAAATGTACCTATTGAGGAAAACAAAGTTAGGAAACAACTTGGTTACTGAGACGTCCTATCGAATGGACAATGTACTCACCGAGCTTGTTGCTTTGAGAATATATGACATCGGAGACTTCAGGGCTTACAAGGACAGCCCCAATTGGCATATATCCGGAGGAAAGAGCCTGAAAGTGTAGTTAAGAGAGACGGATTTAGAATCCTGATACACGTTATAATATACGTAGATTGTATAGAGTTATATGAATATCTCTACCTTTGCTACAGAGACAAGATCAGGTTTAATGTTGTACTTTTCACATCCGAACATTGTCCCGAGCCTTCCAAATCCACATATAACCTCATCCGCGATGAAAAGAATGTCGTACTTCTTTAGTATAGCTTGGACCTAAGAATATGTAGGATGTAAAAATTCAGTTTAGTAATTCTTTCCTCACCCGGAAATATTGAAAGTTCAACGAAAACTGACCTTTTCAAAATAGGTCGCGGGAGGAGGTATGACACCTCCTGCCCCCATGACTGGCTCCGCAATGAAAGCAGCTATCTAAGTTTCAACAAGTACATTAATCGGAACATCAGTTCATCGTCTATATATATTGCATACGAAACAGGAAAACATGATCAAAGTTGATAGAAGTTACTGTTTCAGGTCCCTCTTTGAGTATGAGATTTTCCAAATTATTAGCCAATCTTGTCGAGAACTCCTCTTCCGTCTCACCTAACATACACATTTTCGTAAAAAAGTTCATGTTCTGACTCTGACTGATCCAAATTAGATTCGGATAAAACAACAAGTATGTAAAAATAAAGACCTGGCTGATGAAAGCGCCAAAAATGAGGGCAGTCAGTATGCAGAACAAACGGAGCTGGTAGATCGAATTGCTGATGTAGTGCAGGAAGACTGCAATAGAAAATATTAACATAGCAGATACTTCAAACGAATAACTGATAGCTCGGAAAGGATTAGTATGTTACCCAGAGAGACTAGCGGAAATGAGAGTTGATCCGTGGTATCTGTTTGAAGACGACAAGCATGAAGATTATGTTAGACTAAAACAACACAACACATACTCACACAAAGATGCAGGGGAGTTGAGGGATAAGATTACGATTTTGTTCGAGCAATAAATTTCTTTTTGTCTGGCCTCCCGAGTGCATTGTTGTAATACCATACCAGTTTCACCTACATATCGAAATGCAAGGATCAAAAGTTAGTTAATACCCTAAAAATCATTCCTCAAAGAGACATACCGTTGAGTTAACTAACCATAACATTGTTAGTCTTATTACCCATTCCCAAATGAATATAACTTTCCTTTTCTGGCAACTCTTTAGTTCTAACTTTCTACGTGGTCACAAGATTAAAGGGCATTTTGTTACATATTACATATCTTTAGTTTAAAATCATAAGATTCAAAACTCTTCTTTACTTTCTTAAACTCCGTGCCAAATCAAAACCAGACAAACATATTGAAACGGAGGGAGTATTACTTAGCAGGCTAATTCTGTAACAACCTGTGTGTCATTGGCTTCTGATCCGCTGTTTGTGAAAAAAGCTTTCGCCATTTTATTTGCAGTAAAAAGATCTAGGAGCTCCTTCGCGAGATCCTGTATGTTCGGAAATAGAATCAATATGAGATCTAAGTAAAAACTTAGCGAAATACGGACAGTGAGGAGATTTCTTTTATCTTTCGTGATGAGTTTTACGTACCAAAGAAGGTTTTGTGCTACGATTCCAAAATGAATGGTAAAAGGGCAACTCGTTGAGTTGTTTAGTTGCGGCTGCAACAAGACGAGGCTCATTTCCACCTACAATAATGTGTAACAAAAGACATCCAACTGTTAAATATTTGGAAGAAGTATCAATATATGAATGTAACACAAACAAGGACTCTGAGTACCCAAAGATGTGCACCACAAACCAGCTAGAGCATCGAGGTACTTCTTCCCGTTAACATCATAGACATACGAACCCTATGATAGATTGCATAACATACATTAAACACCGAATTCAGTAACTTCTCGAGTAGACAGACAGAGAAAGATACGATTCTAACCTCGGATTTTTGTATGACTAAAGGTTCCAAATCAGTAGAATGCCATCCGGCAGTGAAGGGTGCCAACATATCATGCCCCTTGTATCTGCAAATGTCAAGACATTACGAATTCGTTAACTTGTTTGAGAGACACTATATACATATTAGATGACACGCGTATTGTTGATATATAATTGCAGAGTTTTTTGGTATTCAATATCAATAGAGTATAAAGGGTCAAAAACACACCTAAAGTATTCCGATCTTTTCAGTTTCCTACCTGAACTATCACCAAATGATTATCGAAACATGCCTCAACTATCAGCTGTTGAGGTATGTTTTGATAGATATTTGAGGTAGGAAACTAAAAAAACGTGATACTTCAGGTATGTTTTTGATCATTAACCCATGTCAATGTATAACGTTCACGATAAATGAAGATAGAGACTCGAGTAGTAAAGAAAGGACAACGAAATGCACCCTCTAACATCAGTTGCTGAGATGTCATTCTTCAAAGATGTCTCAGTGCTACTCCATCTGACCTGTATTTGATCGCTAACGATTTGTTTTTGCAAATTGCCAACAGCAGGGATATGCTTTACGTGAGGACCAACCTGCAAAACTCGATAATTTAGGAACCATACATACCAAACAGATTCATAGATTGGTCAAGAACAATGATAAAGGCCCTAAAGCAGTTCGTTTAACAAACAAAACGGTAAACTACAGATGTTTAAAGCTTCTCAGGAGATCCATGACAAATCGTTCTGTATATTAACGAATATAATTTGATCTTCGAGTCTAAACAAACTGTAAAATGACCTGATTCACAGTTGATCATAACCACATTGTCCAAAGAGGAACACATAACAATCGTCCGTGCAGATCAAAAGCACAATTGATACAGGTAAAATGAAGTTGAACTTTAGGCCTAGGGAGAGCTATGTTGCTCGCACTCTTCAAAAATGTCACAGGATCGGTGCTCGATCATCCAAAAGTAGCATATATTTATAGAATTCGACAAGGGTGCAACAACAATGTTGGAAAGTCCGAGCAACATAAGAAAACGACTATCTACCCTCTATAATAATGACTATGCCTCAATCCCGACCAATTTAGGAGGCCAACTATTATGAGTCCTCAATCAATAAGAGAGCCAGAATTCTCATTAAGCGGTTCGTACAACATGTATAGTAAATATACATAACTATTTTTTAAAATATAAACAATATAATTTTCCACTGAAGTAGGTTCAGATAAACTCCTTGGCCTTACCTCGCTCCACCCTGGTCCTCTATGACCATATCGCTCCATTTAAACACGTCTCAATCCAAAATGACTATAAGTTCGTTCAACATGTATACTATATATACATAAATATTTCTTTTAATATAAATAATATAATTTTCCACTAAAATAGGTTCAGATAAACCCCTTGGCCCTACCTCGCTCCACTCTGGTCCTCAATGAATACTAATGAATACTCAGAGGCATGCAGTGGCGGATCTAGAATGAGATTCGGAACCCTGGTTCAACAACACTAAAAGAGTTTAAGTACACAACCAAGAGCCGTTGGGCCAAATAAATCATTTATTCATTGGGTGCTTGCTCTACGTTAATTTTATACAAATACTACTTATTTTCTAAATATTCCATAACGAAGTTAATGTGTGCTCGAACACCCGCTGACCACCATGTGGGTCTACCCCTGGAGGCAGGGGCAGACCTACAAGTTTATCTACGGGCTCAACAGAACCAAGTAGTAGCTTTGGCCCATAATCCAATAAACTCATAACCACGAAATCCTAACTTGTCCTCTACTTGAGAGGATCATTTTAAAGTTTTATTTTTTAAAAAAAAACATAAAAAGGAGCAAACTTTAAATGAAACACATTCAAGAACCAAAAAAAAATACCCTTTATATAATTATACTAATAAAGCTAATTCAACAAAGATTTTAATAAAAAAAATTTAAAAAAATCCCATAACCAAAAAAAAAAACCCAAGAAATTAAAAGCCATAATACAAACCTGGTTGGTAGCTGCAACAATTCCAGATCCAATTAAACTAGTAATCTTGGCCATTAATTAACCTTCAAGAAAATTCTTGAAAAAAATATAAAAAAAAACTAATTATAACACAAAAACCTCCCTCTTAATTCTATATGTTCCCTCTTCCTTAAAGTTTTAATAATAATTATAAGATTTTATATATAAGTTGAAGAGAACAAAGAAAACAAAGAAATTAGAAAGAAAAACAATTGACAAGTGATAACATATGACTCAGCTTATCTTGTCTTGTCCAAAAAATGGTTTTAAGAAAAAAAAATCAGTATTTATAAATGGACAAAAAAATTATAAATTTTATAAATCCTCATTCATCGGATATTCAAACAATTATAAAAATATTTTTTTAAGGTTTGTAATACTTTTAGGAGGGAGAAAAACCACAGACTTAATATACATTGAATTTAGACACTGCGTTTTAATTTACGTGACACTGTTTAAATTTTATAATGTACATTGAATTTGGACATTAGTCGTACTATTTTCTCCGATTCATAATACTAAATCAGGATAAAATTAATTAAATTAGTCACATTTTACCCTATAATTGACGTGGATTTTAAAAATCTAAGAATTTCTGTTTTCAAAAAGGCTAATTGATATGAACAAAGAGCAAAATAGTAAAATAGATTAATCTATTAATGATTTCTTTATTACCGTGTAAAATAGAAAGTGTTGATGTAATCTTTTTCTGTATCAATTTATGCGGCATGTTTGAATTTCGAGAGTCAGATAAGTTATTTCAACTGTGTAATTTTTTTTTATGTGCTTTATTATCTCTTTAATTTTATAATAAATTAATTATCATTTGAAATTAAAATAGTGTCACGTAAATTGAAACGGATGAACCGTAAATTTAGATGAATCTTCCTTAAAATCTTAAACACAGAGATACTTTTGGTACATTGTATCTGGTCATTAATCATGGATTTTTTTTCGTTGTACTTATACAAAAGCATAAAGTACAATTCTAATTTGGTTTATTTGCATGGATCAAATTCTTTTAACAAATATTAGCCTCCTTTATATTTTTTTTCAAAAAAAATGTGTAAATAAATATTTACATAATCAGATCACTTATAATGATATATTTATATCATTATACGAATATTTACATAATTAGATCACTTATAATTATATATTTATATCATTAATTAGTGATTAGATAAAAATGGTAACTAATATATACTATTATAGAGAGTAAAATTGTATTAAAATTAAAGTAGACTAAAATCAATTATCATTAATTAGTGATCAGGTAAGAATAGTAAATAAGTATATGTTATTACATAGTATAATTGAATCAAAGTTAAAAATCTTACACTAGTACCAATGTTCAATATAAAATACACTAATTATAGTCTAATATTTTAAGTGATTTAGTTTACAAAAATAACCTCTAAATTAAATGTATAGTATATATGTTGGATAAAAGATTCCTAACATTATCGAGGCACTCATATACAAAATAATAATAATTAAAAAGTAAATATTTATAGAAATTTAATAAATTTATTTATACATATACAAAATCTCGACAAAAATTATTGAGTTCAAATGCATACACTAGATCTGCCCCTACATTTTATTTGGTTAATTGCAAGCATGGATCAAAACATACTCTTGTTATAGTTTGGTAGCTGATTAGAGTCATGTACTTAGTATTAATATTGATTTTAGTTATATACGAGAGAATCTATTATTTGATTATGTATGGATTAGTTATGAATGATTTAGTTATTCATGTATCAATTATTTCATCTTCTATCTGACATAAAATAATACGTGAATTCTCTCATAATTTATATATACATATATTAGAATTAGTTATTTAAATTTCTAAATTGCAAACACACATCAAATTAAATATATTGAATAACAAAATAACACCGCACACATAGTATTTCTTGAGTATTATTCAACACATGAATAATTTAACTTCTAATAAATCCGATATCACATGATTCCATAATTTTTTTTAAAAAGGAAACAAGGGAAAAGAGAATCAAGATTCAAGAAATCAAATAGCTCAACACTTTTCTTCAAATGAATATTTTTGGATTAATTGTTAAAACATATAGCACTAAATTACCTAAAATAAGGGAAGAAAACAAAGTAATAGACTGCCATTAATTAGTGCAATCAAACTCAGCTCCCTCTAAGCGCAAGTCTTAGTCATTCAAAGTTTCCGAAATGAATTCTGATAGGATGATTGAAAATAATTTATCTATTTTAATTAAAGATTTTGACTCGGAGTTTGCAAATAGAAAAGATTGTACTAGAATCGTCGCCTCAATTAAATTAAATTTTTTATATTCAATTTTTAATTTAGTTAGACTCTGATATAAATATCGAATATGAGTGTAGAGATCAAAAAAGATTTTCATTGGGCAATTACTACACTAATAGGAGAGGCACATAGTGGAAGAACATTCATGTGATTGTATTAAATATTTGGTAAAATAAGGTGACTTGTGACAATTGACAACCAAAAATATCTACCCTATTTTTCACCTTACTTTTAACTTTTTCATTAATTACTATTCTCCTGTCCCTATTTAGTTCTACATTTTAGAAAAGGCACACATACTAAGATAATAATAATTAATATAGTAAAGTTACAATTTTATCCTTGTTAAATATGGTTTCAAAGTGAATTAAAACTTAAAAATTTTCAAGAAGTTTAAATGAGGGTATAATAGGAAAATTTTTTTGTCCTTTCTTGATTTGTCAAAATGGACAAGTAAATAAGGACATTTAAAAGAGGAAATATGGACAAGTAAATAGGGACGAAGGGAGTAGTATATTAAGAGATTACATTGATTAATTATGAAGAAAGTATAGTAATTCTCATGAAAACCAATATAAAATCTATGAGAAAGAAATAATAATAACATTAAAATAATATTATAACTGAAACACAATAAGTAATGAAATAGCTACAAGGCTATGATGACTAGTACTACCCCAGATACTAACATATCTAAACCTTTGTCGAAAAAGATAATAATTTATCCCTACTAACTTTTTATCTTAATACAAACGAAGACACTTTAATTAAAATGAGGGAATAATGATAATAAAGGCGAGAGTATCGAAGGAGAATGAAGATGAGAAGGTATTAGAATAGTACTAATTTGTTGACTTGAGATTTGGACTTACTTTACTCACTATTATTCTCTTTTTTGTTTTTTCTATTTATTATTTTTTTAATTTGAGGTTCGAAATTTATATTAGAGTTTCGATTAAATATGAATTGCACATAATAGAGATCATTCGAGAGTGATGCTTCTCAAAGATTTTTTTCCTATACTCAAAACTCAAACACGAAATCTCTAATTAAGAATGAATTAGTCACAAACACTATAACAATTGGTTTCTTCTATTGTTGTACTAGTGGTGTTTGGTTCTAACTTCTAATAGTAAAAAAAAGAAGTTATGAAGATTTAAATTTTTAAATTTTGATTATGAATTCAGATATAGAAGTTTTATAGTTTATGGAATATAATTTATATATTAAAAATTACATCAATTAACAAATTAAATTATTTAAAATATATACTCGATAATTTTTTTGATCAACTATTAAAGTTTTAACGGTGTGATATAAATTAAAAAGAAAGAGAAAAAAAACACATAAATCACATTCATAAAATCAAAGTATTGGAGAAAACTGAAATTTTAATTACTTTTGTCAAGAGTATTCTCATTATCTATAGCTAAATGTTAATACACATTATTTAATCACTTTTTATATTGTAAAATAATATATAATTTTTTGTTGATTTATACTTGTATTAATTATACCACCATACTTAGTTCTGATATTAAAATTCACATAAGTTATGATGATTTTGATATCGAAAGTCAAATATGATATTAAGCAACAATGATTTATGTATGAAGTTAACTTAATCTTCAATTAAACAACCACTAAATGTTCTCACTCAATTTTTTAAGGGATGATCGATTTATGATTCTATAAATTTCACATGAGAAAATACAATAAAAATTAAGAAATAAAAAATTTTACAAAGTCTTTTTGGTAGGTTTCTCAATCGATTTTCGATATTTCTACGGAGATACGAAAAATCTAAATTCATGCTAGAATATTTCACATTAAAAATTTAACTACTTTCTAATAAAAGTAATTTCATATCAACAAGATTTGAATTCGAATCGAATTAAATATAGGGTTTACATATCCAAGGTAAAATTTGCAATAATTAATGAATTTCTGATAATTAGTAAGGAGCTATTTAATGAAGAATTAATGAAATTTTGAAGCTTGGCCCAATTGGATCTTGGGCATGATTTTGGGCCCATTGAAGCTTGGCCCAATTGGATCCTGGGCATGATTTTGGGCCCATTGAAGCTTGGCCCAATTGGATCCTGGGCATGATTTTGGGCCCATTGGAAAAGGATGAAAGTAGCCTGGCTTAGTTTGTATATCATGTCAAAATTTCATTTAAATCATTATTCAATAACCTTTGCAGTGGTTGCGGAAAACGAGATTGAGATGATTCAGATATCTGAAAAGGAGGAACACAATTGTCTTGATGATACGGTACAAAATATTGACAGTGTTGTTTTAGGAGAGATAGAGATAGACCGAGGAAGATTTGAAAATAGTTGATTAGATAGACAGGACATGACTTATATTTAGTTCATCAGGGATACGACTCTAAAAGGAGAACATATGGAGGTTTGTTAACCGAAACAACATAGATGAGCCAAACTTTTAACGGATGATATAGATGAATCTTTTTTCGTAAAGTTTGATGATATATTTGAGCTTTTTTCTTAGATATAAAATAAAATGTAAAATATTTCTCCAATACTTTCTCTCGCTACTCGCTACACTCCCCCCCCCCCCTTATTTTTATTTTAAAATTATTTTACGAAAAATTCCATACTTCATCTGCAACACCCACCCACCCCATCTCTGCTGCCACCACACACACAATTCTTTTAAATAATAATTTAGATATTATTTTGTTTTATTTCACGCCAGACGTTTTTAAAAATATCTTTTTTTGTTATATTAGGTACGCAAGTGGAAATTAATAATTTTAAAAAAATATATATATACAAATCTAAAACAGAAAAATATGTATTTAGCCGTTAAAGCCAAATAAATAATTATATTTATGTATTATGATAAAAATTTTGTAAATAAAATAAAAAATGTATTATTCATACCACTAAAGTATATATCTCAAACTTATTAATTTAAATATCAAACTTACATTAAGTATG